GGTTTTACAAGTTCGTTTTTGCGGCTTCAGCTCATACGATTGAAGCTATTGCATAAAAGACTTACTTTATCTAGACTAGCATTCGAATCTTTGTACTGGATCCCCAGTGTTTTCCATCCAGTAATTAAAGCAGGTCTATGTATACCCTTTGGTATGTTTTTTTTCCTCTTAGCTTTGCTTTAGAATGACACAGGTGTCTAATATAACTCTTTACACACACACACACACATACACACACAATGGGTAGATCTATGATACTTGTTTTTTGTTACGTTAGGAATACTACTTTATTGTCAGAGTGAATGACAGCATACTGTTGCAATAAGTTTTTTTTTTTTTGTTTGTTTGTTTTATTTTTAGATTAATATTACTGAGTTTCCATCATATGACATTAGCCTGCAGTATTGTATCTGTTATCACATAATTTTGGACAGCGTAGCCAAACCTGTCATTCCAAACTCTGCCGACAATTTCAGAGAGTGGTGTGCAAAGGGGAGGAAAATAACCTTACTTAATTAAGCTAAACGAGAAAATACAGACTGAAACACAATCAAGGCAGGGCAGGGCAGGTTTATTGCATTGACTGGAAGTTGGTCTGTGGGGTAATCTCCGACAGGCGGAAAGCCAGAACATTGTTCCTTTGATGTGTCAGCTTCTGCAGCATGATTTCTTGTAAACGTACTGGTGCTACCTTTCTCTTTGACATAACAAGAGATCATGCTGCATGTCTACAATATGGTCTCTACAGTAATGCCTAGAGTGGTTTGTACTCTGGAGATAACGAATTTAATTTCTGACCTTGAGGGGCTGTGATCCAGATGCCTCTCTACAACACAGTATAACACCATTATAGGAAAAAAGTAAAAGGTCAGTGATAGGTTGCATAGCAAATTTTCAACAAATTAGACCGAACGGTCACTGGATTTTACATTCTTAAAGTTTGGCTCGACTTTTGGAACGGACTGTAGTGACAATATTTATTAATGTCAGTTTACAACGACTCTAGGCACTTTTAAGCAGCTACGAGCCACACCTTATCTGTTATACTGTTTGAAGAGCTGAACCGTCTATACAGCTGAAGATACTTTTTAAATTACGTACTGACGTTCCCATGGGTGTTCCCTTTCAACATGTGTTTCTGTCCATTGTCCTCCTAGACGATCTCGATGGGTAGGCCGGCCTGGATCATGACTCCCCGACCTCAGACTTCTCTTGTTACGAGTATCGGGCATTCAGACATGAGGCAATTGTGGTTTTGCAACAGGTGCCGAAGTTGTGGTGTTTGATATATATATATATATTGTCGCTGCGGTAGCAAATTATGCGCCGGCCTGCACGACCAGAGTGACAAAAGGACGGTTGGCTCATCAGACAGACGTCAATCGGACAGACTTTGGCAGTTGGTAGAGTAGCACTGGCAGACGTTGAACGGACAACTTTCGCTTTAGGGATTGAGAAGTTCTTTTCTACTAGGAGCTCAGGCCTGTCTACCCAGGCTTATCCCCCTCCCCTCCCTTTAAAACATATATGTAGCGGACTAGAAATTTTGCTGACATGCATTACTTCAGTTTTGGTAGCACTTATTTTTACGTTATATCTTCTTTATCTTGAACCTAGCATGTTCAAATGTTCTCGACGTCTACTCCTCCCCCCCCCCCTACCCCTGCAATTGTAGAACAGGCATTGATCGTCTGCAACACAAACAGTGTTGCATAACATGTCCTTAATTACTTGCAAGGAGCAGCACGCTGCCGCGGACAACCAATCTGACGCGTCTACCAATCTGACGCGTCTGGTCTAATCCACGTAAGTATAGACACCTGAAAGTAGCTGAACTTGAGATCAGTCGAACTTGCAGCCTGTTGTAACGCATAAACAGGATAAACTATATCAGCCATATGCCCATGCTTGGTGAACTCTTTCGGTTAGGTTCTCGTTAATCTCCCCTGGACTGGTCGGCTTCCCTGAAGGTTACGGGTGTGTCACGCAGTGCTGTTTGCTTTCTGCGTTGTCTTGCATTTACGTTTTCATTCCGAGAAAGAGAATGCCTGCGACATATGTTGCAGGAAATAGGGTGTGTGTTTGGGCCAGTTTCTACATGTTCTTGGAGTGTTTAAGGCGTTTGCCTGCTGAAATATACAACACGCTTCATACAAGGCATCGGTGAACGCCCCTCTAACCTTGTACGCAGAACACGCGGCTCAGAAACTACCAATCATAAGTGAGCTAGTGTTTATTTGAGCGTGGCATGGGGAGACTAACGTTACGTATTTCACCTCTTCCATCTGTACGGTTAAACACTGCTGGCAGCTATATACATTGGGGTGGGGTGGAATGATGTGTCTAAATACATTTTCCATGTGTCGATATTTCATACTATTATGGAAACTATAACTTAGCTCCAACAACATAAATTTATTTCTGTGCTTAGAAAAACATGATGGGCATTTCCCTAGATAAAATAATATATGTGAGACACAATGCACTCCACAGATATGCCCGTAACAATGAAGATAAAATCTTTCTCTTGGTGTATCCCCTTCTCGTAGAGACTTTATGTCGCTTTTTGACAGAATAGCTCAGGTCCTCTGTAAATGTTTCCATTCATCATTGCATGAGTACTTATTTAAAGACATACTTCAGGTGTACTATAGTTCCCAACAAGAATGTTTCTACGAAGGGAAATCAATTAGTGAGTCGCAAATGTTGCTTAAAAAAATTTAAAAAATAACAAATACAACTTAAACACCGTTTTATTCTACACATACACTGTCCTTTTCTTTCAACATAATTTCCACCAACATTGATGCACTTGCTTTATGAATCCTCCCAAACCTGTTGCATATAACTGCAGGCTCTGTTTTCTAAAATATATTTTCTCTTCAGATTCAAATTTTTCGTCATTCACAAAATGTCTCATGCCAAGGTGGATTTTCAGTATACCAAAAGGTGCATATCACTAAGTCGAGGCTGTGAGATGGATGTTTCAGAGGTTCCTACCCTAGATGGCTAATTTTCTCCTGAGTTAACCATGGTCCAATCTAAACATTACGACAAGATCAGAATACATCAACAATTCTAAAGCGTCCTCCAGAATGTTTTGTTTTTTTACCGAGATAAGCACCGCTTTAAGGGTTAAAACTTTCGGCAGCATAAACAGAAAGCTGTTTCTTATAAATGTCCTTTGCAGAGAGCCCTCCTCGCCACCCCCCCCCCCCCCCCAGCCCTATTTACACTGATTAACGGCATCGGTTATCTTTTGATAATCATAATGTATCTCAAGGCGTCTGAAAGGGTTGTTAAAACAATGGCAATAGAGAAAAGCAAGGTTTTACCACATCCCAAACGCGTTTCTCGGTCATTATCGATTTACCGTATTATAAGAAATTAGAATTGTTACATGCTATTAATTATTCGGATATCATTAAAGATGACGTACAATACCGACTAAATTTTGTTTTAAATGTTTCCCTCTAGGATTATGTAACTATAAGAGGCAGGATCGGAAATGATAAAAGAAGCTGAGACGCAACTATCACTAAAATACATCTAGAGACTACACATGAAATGGTTTAGACATGAGCCAAGACTACCACTAGACAGTGCACAAGGGTGAGCACTGCCACTTAGACATAATAGAGGCAGAGAAAACACGCAAGCAATCTCTTCAAAATATGATGCTAAAAGGTAGAACAACCAAGAGGTAGAATAGCCAAAAAAAGGAGAATATGAACAAGAATAAGAAAAAGAAGTAGAAGAAGAAGCAAAAGAAGAGGAAGAAGAAGCAGAAGAAGAAGAAGAAGAAGAAGAAGAAGAAGAAGAAGAAGAAGAAGAAGAAGAAGAAGAAGAAGAAGAAGAAGAAGAAGAAGAAGAAGAAGAAGAAGAAGAAGAAGAAGAAGAAGAGAGAAGAAGAAGAGAAGAAGAAGAAGAAGAAGAAGAAGAAGAAGAAGAAGAAGAAGAAGAAGAAGAAGAAGAAGAAGAAGAAGAAGAAGAAGAAGAAGAAGAAGAAGAAGAAGAAGAAGAAGAAGAAGAAGAAGAAGAAGAAGAAGAAGAAGAAGAAGACAAAGAAGAAGAAGAAGAATATGGAAAAGAAGAAGAAAAAGAAGAAGATGAAGAAATGAAAAGAGGAGGAAGAAGATTGCTGCTTAAGTGGCAGTGGCTCACAGATCCCCTATTTAGACAACAACCTGATAGGAGCGGATCCCTGTTCAACCGCATAACACAGTTATATAGGAGCACCGAATAGTACACAGTACCTTGTGAACTAATGTCGGTTGGTTGTGGAATCTGCTATTGATATTCAGTAGTCTATAAATAACTAACTGTAACCTAAGAGTTACATCAAAACAGCTTTTCTTATTATCAACTGCGGATGGAACTTCCATTAACAATACACACGTCAACCCAAGCGTCAAAAAAGTTAAAATTAAAATTACATGGTTGCAATAATACTGGGTGTTGTGGTTTCTGAGATATTCGAATACATAGTGTCATTCTGATTTGTGTGGTTACCACATATGAGTATAAGCCTCAGAATGCCTCGCTAACATTAGTGACATCAGAAAATGTAGAGAAAGATACATAATTAAATATGAAGCAAAATAGTATGCATTCATTCACTATACATAATGTTTATTTTAGCAGTAATTGTATATGCGTGCATTTCTTTTGCTACTGGTATACCGCGATTTCTGTAATCTTTCACTTGTATGTACTAATGATTAATTGTAAAACAGTGTACTGTAATTGCTATTGCCATTTACAGTCAAACAAAGCATCAACTGCTTTTAAAAACAGACTGCAGGAAAACAACTTACATCTTTTCTGTTTTAGTTAATCTTGTTGTTTAGAACATGCACAGCTAGATTTAAAGAGGATGCACAAACCTTAAAAAATTCACAATCAGAAATCATAAACCTAACTTCAGACAACGAACTGAACCTGATCGTTGCGCAGAAACAATTGTTTTAAACATGTCACAACACTGAAAGTACCATAACATGGAGCAACACATGAATCAGTCGCTCCTAATGGAATATGAGTTAACCTTTTATCTAGATGATACAACAACTTCGATCTTCGAATGGGCATTATTCACCGCAGTGTGCCAGGTGATTGATGTTTTTGGAATCGTCACAAACATTATCAACATCATTTGTTTTCTGAAGCAAGGCTTCAAAGATTCCACAAACATTAGTCTATTGGGTATGAACTGATGTAGCAATTCCTATTAGTGCATTTTTTTATTTTTTTTTATTTTTTTTTTCTGTAAGGACTTCAATAGCTTTTTGCTGTATAAGCTATCTCTATTGTCTTTCTCTATTTTATGCCGTTAGACGTCGCAGGCACGGCAATTGGCCGCTTTCAGTGATTGTGCGCACAGGTTAGCTCGCTGTCTGGAAATATTCTTGAAATTCCCCAAGGTGTTTACATTGGGCAGCATGCAACTTAGCGTTGCATTTGACAATATTATCCAAAGACGACTGTCATGGGGAATGACAAACTACCGAAAGTAATATTACCTAAAAAAGCTGCAACTGCAACCAAATGATGGTGATGGTTCTGCAGCGCCCTGTAAAGGAAGCGCAACCTTAAATGCTCAATAAATACTTAAATTTGTATTCAGTCCTGTGTAGTCACAAAAGTAAAAATTAGCAACGTTACATTTTTCTCTGATAAAGCATAATTGTATCTGTCTAAATAAGTAAATAACCTACATAATCGTATTTGGGGGAGGTTTAATCCTAGTGAATTTCATGAAGAGCTTCCACACGATGAGAACATTAGGGTGTGGTTTGCCGTCATTAGAAGCGTTTAATTGGTCAAATCTTTTTCCACAACAATACAAATGTCGATCGATTAGTTAGTTAGTCTTTTCCTCTTGATCCTAAGGCGGCGCATAGGGCAGATGACATAGTTCTCCATGTTTGGCGGTTCGTTGCCACCTGATTTAGGTTGTGGATGTTCATTTGGGCCATAGTTGAGCCTTCTCTGATGATGGTTCTACGCAGAGTATCTCTTTGTCTTCCCCGTTTTCTTTTCCTTTTTGGTGTCCATATGATGTCTTGTCTTGTCCATTCTGAGTGCATGGCCAATGTAGTTCAATCCGTGCTTTCTTGTAAAATTGGATACATGTTCTTGCTAATTCTCTTAAATTATTTGCGTATTGGATCTCAGATCTGTCCAATGGAGATTCAATATTCTTCTAAGACATCTAGAAACCTGATTCTTTAACAAAGGTGGTTTTACAATGGCGACTTGTCAGGTCGTCAATCAACAGTCTTAAGCCAAAGTAAAAGAAACACGCACCACAATCTTGATGGAAACCGGAAACCTTTAACAAGTGGCAATCGACACGGTTCTGATTTTTGTAGTAGTACATTTTACCCCACTAGGAAATCACACTAGCGATAAAGTCCTGATGACACAAAGTGTCACCATGTGGATGAGGATCAACAGCGAAGAGGTGCCGGAAACCGCGTTCAGCTATTTGGCCATATTTATGGACAGGCAATTTTGCTGCCCGTGACAAGAGCCAGGGTGGGGCTTCAAAATATTAAAAAATTGCATTCCAAAAAGGGGATGACTAGTTAGGAATACGGCCCTGCTATTCTGGACCCGATTTGTAGAACAACTGAATGAAAGTAAAATTGAAGAAGCGTGGTTCCAGCAAGATGACTGAATTGCATACACAGCTTGAGCAAGATTACGTTTTTCTTAAGAAAATTTTCGTGGAATTTGGCTTTTTCGTTCTCAAGAATAACTCCATTATTAAATAAAAATTAAATTTGTTGGATTTTTAGACGGGAAGTGTTTACAAACTTAGTATACTCTCTATTGCGGATCTGAAAGAAGAAATCATAAGGACCAGTTGATTTGAGTTAAGTTAAAAATAGACATCACAGCACTCGGGGCATTTCTATGCGTGCTCTGTCCTCATCTTCAGCAGCCTTCGCAGAGTTCCAGTACTGATAGTACTGGTCACAATCTGCTTATATGGCTGTCTTTCCTTTCCTCTGAGTGTAGTGAGCCGGCCAGATCTTCTGATTACATCCAGGTGCCTCATTCACTACAGGCCATAATAATCTTTTTTCTCTACTGATTCTGCTGCATGTTCTCAAAGGGCATTGACCACATCCTGCCTTGCCATATCTCAATTCACCACCTAGTGGTGCAGATCCACTAAATATGTCTACCTGTTCATTACCCACTACGCCGACACTACCCATGACCTTCCAAGTGCAGCTTACTCTTAAGTACCATTAAAGAAAAAACAAAAGATACATTGCATAAGGTATTTGAAAATATGAAGAGAGGTGTAGAGTCATGTTGTGAGGTCCATAATAGACATTTTGATCACAGGTACCATGAATTTTTCACTCCTGCTTTCCAGCTTCCCCAAAATAACTTTAGACCCTATGAGTGACCACTGTAAAGTAAGCACATGTTTGACACCTTCATTTACTTCATTTGCGTCCATGGCTTAGGCGTTGCGAGTCCGACTCGTAATCCAGCGTACCGCGACCGAAAACCACTGCTGGCTGCGTGGATTTGTATCATGGTATGGGGCGTCGCAGGCCGACCCAGCCTAAAAATGGCTACCAGGAAGGGGTGCCCTGGGAAAGTAAAGGCAGCCGGCGTAATGCTGACCACATTACCCACCGAGTGCTGATGGTCTGTAAAAATATGGGAGCTATTCCCATATGTCTGATACGCCAAAAGGCGTTGAAGGGGATCTTTACTTTTTTACTTACTTGCATTGCCCTAGCCCTAACCCATGACACGTAAGTTACGTCTTTTCTACTTTGCACATACTCGGAAACGACCCAGCACACTTTTTTACAGCGTTCGCAATAGTTTTGGAATTTGCGTCAAACACAAGAAACACGTGCTTTTGTTAGAGGTCATTAGGTTACATTTGAACTGTTGCTGTTTAACTCCTTAAGGCATTCCATCAAGAATAATCGTGCATCTGTATTGCGTCGAATAACCAAACTCCATCATAAATTAATGTTATGGTTAAAAGCGGGGTTGGGGGGGGGGGGGGGGATATAACATAACGTTGAGAATAAAGTAATAATTAGGTCTGTACCGAATATTCGCTTCGTATTCGCTTCGGGGCCGAATAGTGGACCCAATAACTATTCGGCATTCGGCCGAATGGCTGCGGTCGGGCCAAATACGAATAGTGGTTACAACCGTTTCTGAGCTGGTAGAAAAAAAATCAAGATTTCCCACCTTGGTTTATACTGTCAAGCGTTATCTTTGTGCACCACCTACGAGCGTACCAAGTGCCCCTTTATTTCCATCTTATATGTGTTGCGAGTATAGTGTTTTTAGGTGTGTTGCTGTAGAAACAAAATGCAACACTTAAAGATGTAAGAAGGGCAGAAAAGCAAGTGTTCTAGTGTTGTCGGCTTGATTTCTTTGAGTGGAGAGTCCTCTTCGTTGATTGTTTTAAGTGGAAACGGCAGCGGCTGAATGTTTTGATCGACGTTCGGTTTCTTCGTTGTCTTTGTTGTTTGATCTTCTGGCGTTGGCCGCTCGGCGTCTGGATTTTTCGTGTGCAATGATTTTTTTGTTATTTGATCTTCACGTGTTGGCTGCTTGGCGTTGTCCGTCTCCGTGGCCGCGGTGGTCTTTGTTGTCGCTATCTTGTTTATGTTGAATCCTTGAGCTCGCGAGCTCCGGGGGGGGGGGGGGGGGGGGGGGGGGGGGGAAGGCTGGGCGACTTGTGAGGACGGCATTGTTTTCTTCGTCGGCGTTATTTTTGTTTTTGATGTTTCGCCTTGCGGGTTTTTATCTTGCCTCTCTGTATTAGCCGTATTTTCCTGTTTAGTACAGCTGGAAATATCTTCAGTGAGAAAAAAAAAGCTGCCCTAATGCTGACAACATAGAACGATGGTTTTTCATGGAGGTGTGTCAGCACACGAACTAATACGTGCGGCAGGAGATCGCAAATTGTGGCGAGGCATAATCGCCCATGCCAGCCGGCAAAGCACATGATGGTGATGATTCACTATTCGTATTCGTATTCGTATTCGGCCGAATAGTTGGTCCAGCTATTCGTATTCGGCTGAATAGTGAAAATCACTATTCGGTACAGTCCTAGTAATAATTAATATTTACTTTTCTCCATTTATTTTCCAGTTAGGCTCAGATATAATAGTTTTCAACATCAGCACGAATTTGCAAACGCATTATAGTTAACATGTTAGTGTACTTTAATATTTCCGGTCTTAGCTTCCGCATATTCTCTTTCTTTGATAATATATATAATATACGATATTTGTAGAGTTAATATAAAGGGCTCTTTCACAGGAACAATAAGTCTTACAATTAAACTGTTGTATAGCATAGTGGGTCATGGGACTTTACTCTAGGAAGAAAGCATACAGACTGCAGTACGAACAATCCTAAATCAAAAGTCTTGACTTGTTTAAAATGCAAGTAAGTGTTGTCAGTGTTCTAAGTTCAATATGCATGGAATAAATGCATACACTTGAGCGTTAAACATTAGAAATGAAACTGTTTCAGTGTAACATTTCTCGTCAACTCATTACATTTTCTTGTTTAATATCTTGGTTTAACATACATGTATTGTTCTGTATTTCCAGGTTTATCAGTCTCAGATTTAGCCAGTCTTATAACATTACTCGGTGTCTGCATCTTGTATACACCTGCTGTTGCAGAGGCGGATTTACCATTTGAGAGCATAGCTGTTATTTATCTGGTATTTGGGATGCCACATTTTGCTTTCACTAGAGTCAGCGGTTGTATCACCGCCTTCATTACCCTAGAGAGATGCTTGAGTATTGTGATGCCTTTGAAGGTAATTGTTAAATAGTGTAGACGATAGCTGTATGGTAAAGGACACTCCATGCCCATGTAGTTTAGCTATATGATGTTAGACTTATGCTTTCGTAAATTTAAAAAGAAACCAAACCGATGTGTGGTGTCTTTAATGTCATGTCCGCTGCCTATACTACCCATATCATATCAATAAAATTAAATTTGAAAAGTTTCGTAAACGTTTGAGACAGGATCACCTTAACTTGGTCTCAACAGTCGACCGCTCAGTAAGCAATGACATACTAATGAACACAATTTTGCCCCCCAAAAAAACACAACAGCTACACAACGCTGACATTGCTTTTGCAACTTCCTGTAAAGGATACGCAACTAACGTTTGTTGGCGTCTGTTGCGAACACGCGTCGCAATGCCGCTGTGCTGGGTTCGATCCCGGCTGCAGGCGATTTGCAGCAAGCCGCCTTGTGTTAGATTTACATTGCTATCGACAGCCGATTGTTCATTGAGCAATGGAGAACTACTGAGCCTAAATTAGCCTAGAACAATTACAACAGCCGAAAATGCTTGGGTTGGTTCTGCAGCGTCATGAAAACGGTACGTAACTCGAGAAAGAAACCTTGTAACCCAAGTGAGCCAAAAAACCAAAATCGATGTTGAGGCATTAATCATCAAGTACCCATTTTTACATAAATATAAGTATGAAGTCACACGCTCAATGCACAAAGTGCATGAAAAGGTGTCTTTTGTATAGTAAAACCTCGTTAATACAAACTCCATTGGCTCGAAAACCGCGTTGGTGTTGAAACAATGGCGTCGATCGCGGACTAATAACAATAAATGATACATCCTGCTGGGACCGAAATTGCATTCATGTTAATGGGGGTTTTCCCTTTAGGCGAGATCCTGGTAATGAGGTTTAGCGAGTGCGTGTGTGCCTGTGTGGGTGTGTGTGTCTGTGAGTGCGATTGTAAACATCAGTAGCACACTACCTTCCTTATTGTTGTTAAAAAAAGTATAAGTATGATTTCCATTAATTTATTCATTTGGTGTAAAAAAAGAGAGATTAGATTTAAAAAAAAAGTATCAAAGCTAAGGCAGACTTCTATAGACTTCAGATCAGACTGGGCCAGGATACGTAGACGGCCAACAGGCAATACATAAGCAGAAATGTTATACACCAATTGGCACTCAGTGGTTGATGTTCTCAGCACCTCGCCGGAAACATTTACTTCCAAAGTTTAAGGCTGTGTCGACGTGGGAACCCACTGTCAACTTAAAAAAAAAAAAAAAAAAAACAGCTGCTGCCCTTCATATTTGAACCCAGGGCTTTCGGATCCTTGGGTGTGCATCTATCAGCTAAACTAAGGTTCCTTCTTACACATACAAGCACACACACATAACATATATATATATATATATATATGCGTGTGTGAGTATACAGTGCAAGAAAGAGATAGAGATGAGAAATTAAAACAAAAGAATAAAAGAGATATAAAAAAAATAATGCAACATTTCAAATAATTCCGTTGTTAATACTGCACTTAGCCATATGACGAATAATACAGCCATAAAAGGATTATCTTTAAAAAGCTTATATTTTACACTGATAAGTACATACTTTTCAACTAGTGTATTGAAATGAAAAAAAAAAGTTATTGCTGTACCTATTAAAGTCGTAACTGTGTGCTGCCAATATTTTTTTTTTCTTAACAACGGTATCGCAGTTGTGTGAAGCAAACACCTGCAATTAAAATAAATGAGCAAGAATGAACAGCTGGCCCTGTTGGTGCAGGGAGGGGTAAGGGGGGGGGGAACAGTCCTCTTGACTAAGTCTCTATTATTGCGTAACCATTTTTTTTTAAATGTACACTGGCGTTTCGCCTTAAAGTATATGTCCTGTTTAAGTATATATGTGCAGTCTTATTCTCTGTGTACCACTCGCCCTCCTGGTCTCTGCACCCTCCTGATATTTTTCATCGTCATTTATTACCCTTTGTGCAAATAAACTAACGTCAAGAAACAGTAAAATAAAAAAAAAACTTCGCGACCTAATTTATATGGTATCTAATTACTACCTCAGAACACAATTTGAATCTTCCCGCAAAGCGGTTTTTATAGAGTATGTATTCTTTAAAATTACTATTCCAATACATGTTTTCTCAGTATGGATTCCGGAGCCCTAATGGTTGAATACAGAAAGGAATTCACCATGTCCATTGACAAGAATGTTTGAGGAACCCCCAGTTTAGTTTTTTCCTTTAGGGTCAGAATACATGTGCTTGAGAAGCAGAGAAACAACAATCTGTATTGAAATAAAATATAATATAAAAAAGAAAAAAAAAAAAAAAAGATACATGTATTTGTAACAAAAATGTGCACGCAAAACTCAAGTTCTAGAAGAAACAATCGTCGAGAGGTAGGTAAACAACCAAAACATACTGCATGAGATTACAGCAGATAAACGCATACAAGAAGGAAAAGAAGAAAAGAAGAAGAAGAAGAAGAAGAAGAAGAAGAAGAAGAAGAAGAAGAAGAAGAAGAAGAAGAAGAAGAAGAAGAAGAAGAAGACGGAAGCGAAGAAGAAGAAGAAGACGGAAGAGAAGAAGAAGAAGAAGAAAAACAAAAAAGAAGAAGAAGAAGAAAGAAGAAGAAAAAGAAGACAAAGATAACTTTTTCTACATTACAATGCCGATCATTCGGTATTGCTGTTTTCATCGCATATGCATTATTAATTAGAAATACAAAAATCTTCGTTTCAAAAATGTATATATGTATATGTGTGTGTGTATATATATATTGTAAAATGTTAACACACAATCAATCAATAATTGATGGATATTTAGGAAGCAAAGAGATATATTCTAACAATTATTTTTTTTTCTCTAGGTGAAACGTATTATAACACCAAACAGATCAGCGATGATTATCGTCGGCATCTTTATTATTTTCACATTCAGCGCAACACCTCTATACATTGTAAACAGTCTGGGTCTAAAATTTTCACCCTCAAAAAACAAAACCATCGTTGGACTTATCTTCAGAGACGATAAAGAACAGGTTGAGATGTTTACTTTTTTATTCAACAACTTTTTTATTCCGTTTTGCGCATTTATAATTGTCACTGTCTGCACTGTCATTCTGACCTCCCAGCTACGCAACAGCACGAAATGGAGAAAATCAACTATCAACGAATTTCAGGCGGAGAAGATGTCTACACGTAACAAAAAGGTCTCAAAAATGGTAATCTCCATTTCTAGTTTGTTCATTTCCTGCTTTGTCCCAATGACCATTATAATGCTGGCAGTCGCATTCGTGCCAGATATGATGGTTAACAGAAAATACTTTAATGCTACAAAAATACTAAGTGGATTCTCATTTATAGTAGAAGGCATCAACTCCTCTGTTAACATTTTTATTTATTACCATATGAGTACAAAATATAGAGGCACGTTTCGCGCTTTGCTTTTAGGAAAATTTAAAAATATCAAGTGAAAAATAAATATAAAAATAAAAAAATTATATATTTTTTTTTTAATATTAAAAAAAAATGCATCGAAACAATACTATTGATCATTATTTATTTCAAATAAAACTCTACCGCCCTTTGGGTGGGAGTGAGGCGCTTGGTCTTTCTAGATTTTGTTCGCTGCCTCGATCAAATTTGGAGGTGGGCTTGGACACTTCAAAGGGACTGTAGCGGAATGTGATGCAGTTAAAGGCTTTGCATGACAGTTCGTAAATTTCTAAATGTAGTGTAGCTGAAAAAAAAATTGCAGCTGTGCATGATTTTCCAAATAAAACAGAGACGTTATTTCAAACTCATCAGGTTCGTTCTGTTTATTTACATTATAACATATGTTATCATTTATTTTTGTGTCAATGTTTATATTCTTTGACACGGTGAATGGATGGCATGAGCTGAGACCTCTTCATGCAGCATTTAGTCAGGATATTTACTGTTGAAAAACGGACTTTCTCTACCAACGATTTGACATATTATACACCAATATCAGTCTGAACTACACTGACTGCTCAGACGTTCAATAAGTAAAAGAGACAGGGAGTATCTCAGAGAAGCGTGAAAGAACCAATCTTCATCGTAGTTTTTATAACTGAAATTACTCAATGTTATCAACAGCAAGTAAGTTTTAGACAGCCTACATGAACGAGAGCTTTACAAAAGCCAAAGCTTGCTAATGACTTTGATATTTAGACGACCATTTAAAAAAAAAAAAAGCAGCTCCTGATTCATTTAAACGACAGCGGAGGAAGTCGAGAACTAGTCTATTATCTGATATCAAAAACTTGCTCTGACTGACATTTTTATGTCTGTAAATGTGTTGTCTAACAGAGAGGCATACGATTCCAAGCCAATTAAAATCAATAATAAAAGACCTCATCTTTAGAGCTCAAAACCTATGCTCTGAGAACACATACACATATATAACCTACACATTCATACATACACATAAATATACACACCCATGCACACAAACACCATTTTGTGTATACATAATATATAGACACGCATGCATACACACACGATCATACCCGCACAAGCATAAACACTCAGACATACTTACACCTACAAATACTCATTATATACACATACACATTCATGCATAAATTCCTACATACACAGACACACACTCATACAGGCACCCATATTTGTTAATACACATATTTGAATCAATACTACTGCATTTGATTTTTTTTGATTTGATTCAAGAACCGACATCACACCACTTGGGGCATTTCCCATAAGCGCTCCGTCCCCATCTTCAGCAGCGAGCTAAAAGTTCCGATACTAATGGTGCCAGTAACATTCTGATTAAACGTCCGTCTTGCCTTTCCTTAGAGCCTCTAGCATCTGCCAGAACCTCTCGTCACTCCCCCCTGCATCAGTCTCACTAGATTATGGTGATCCATCTGCTCTTCCGAACTGAACACGCTCTCCTACAAGACACTAACCACGTCTGCCTTATAATGTATCTGTATTCCAACAAGTTGTGCAAAGCTAGTCAGTC